TGTCTTTCATCTTTCCCCTATTTAATCACTGCTAACTGATTAACCTAGTGAAGCGCCACAAAATCCTTTAGGTGGAAAAGGAGCAAAAAGGCAGGCATGCTAGCTTTTACAAATAAATAAGCAGAAACCTTTGCAAACAAGCCGTATAACCTGTAGTTCTCAAAAGTACCTATTGCTCTCTCCAGCAACGGGGGTAGGCAGTAGTAACACACAGTCACTCCTTCCGTCAGAAGCAGAACGTGAACTTGTAGGACACAAGGGCGTGTCAAAGTTCAGACACTGTTGTATAGCCTGTTAGCCACCATAATGTCTTTTGCCCTTCTTTTACCCCACGTAGGCACTTCAGGACTTCTAATCTCGTGAGCTTGATAAGTAGGCACAAGACAGTAACTCCTTCAATACTGCTTTGCCACAAAGGGGCAGTGAGTGCTATGTGCTAAAGCCAAAAAAAAGTCCATTGCCAGAAATTTAGCAAAACATATTTCACATAGTCAGATCTTTAAACAGCTGGCGAGGGAAGCTTAGCAGTCAGGGACACAGGCAAGGCCAGGCTGTTTTTCTCCTAGATGATTCAGGTGCTTCTTGGGTTAAAGTGTTTACAAAACTATGGCCTGACTCCATCTCTGGTTTGGGAGTGCAGCGCAAACCATTCTCAGGAGCCTGCTGTGCAAGTGGTACAGGAGAAAGGAAGGCTTTCACGAAAAAAAATTAGGCTGAAGTTAGACTCTGACATGCAAACAAATTACTGCTCCTTCACGAATGACCACCTGCCAGTTGAAGCATGTTAACTGCCAACATGTGCACTCTTAGCCCTTTGCAAAGAGAAGGTAAAGCACATTGCCTTTAACCTTAATGAAGGTCAGATGCTCTTTGGTTTGAGCCCTTAAAACGACTTCTGTTTGTGTCTTTGGGTTAGCCTTCCTGTTGTAAACAGTATACTCTTTCTGGCACAGTTACAACATACCGTACCCCTCAAAATCCATCTTTCATCTCAAACTCAACTAAAAATAAAAAGTTATTCCCAGTAATAACTTCAGTCTGCAGGAGTTACTGTGACACAAACGTGTTTGAGTTGCGCCCTTTATAACATGAGGAAAAAAATCCTGACTCGATATTGGAGAAACTTTAATTTGCTCTCCTAGTTGGTTTTTTTTTTTGTGTGTGTGTGTGTGTATATCCTTTTTCAGTTAAAAATTAAAAACATTCCAAAAGGCCAGAAGTACTTATTATTCTTACACTTTTACAATGAGGAAACTCTTTTAGTCTCTCAATTAGGGAAAAAAAAAAAAGAGCGCTTGCATAACATGTTAACAGGTCCTGCTGATAAAAGGAAAGAGAGAATTCAAGTATCTTTCCTCTTCAACACGTATCCCTTTCTGCTGTGCCCCACTTCCGTTTGGGAGGACAATATGCTGGAACTATTTGTTCTTGCACTTTTCTGGTCTAAATAAGCTGTAGCACTGGCTCTCTCCTTGAGTTTCTTTGGCACACTCTCTGTACCCCTTCATAGAAATGGGTCAGTGCTGACTTCCAGTATCGTGGGTATTTGGGGGTCGCAGTACATATTTTTAGGGCCACTGGTAATGAAGGCAAAAAGGCAAAACTGCTCTTTAGCTACTACAAGAAACACACATGCAAAATAGTAAATGTACTTTTGTAAATTACTTTGCCACAGTTTCTTCACTGCTTTTGGTCACTCTGTGGTCCAAGTGTTGTAAGGAGTTCAGACTTCTCTCTACTATGCTACCATATATTATGCACGCTCCCTTGCAGAGGAAGCTACTGTTCCGTTACAAGTGCTAGCAAAGCTTCTTCATGAGAGACAGCTCTCAGCGTTTAAAAATCAGGTCCTTTGTCAAGGTGGTTTTCAGTCAATTTTGTCAGGACAGGGACAACCTCCATATGATTTGTTTTGTAGTTGCCTGCTTCCCAAAATGTGCAGCACACAAACTGCAGGTAACAGTCATGTGTCTTTCCAAAGGCTCT